GTTACAAAAACAGGTTTAAGGGGGATGTTGAAAATTAAACTTGTTTTTTGGGCCTAATTAATATTTACTTTAGTTGTTGTTGGGAAGGCCCAAGTGATAGAAAAATGTAGAAGGAATAAATCTTAGAACTTCTCTAGAAGATATGGTCTCTAGAACTCTCCTATCATTAATTGTATAGAATTGTTTAGAATGCATTATTTATAGAATAGTCTAGATACTTTTGTACTAGTATAAATAGAGCTCCCTACCACCACTTTGTATCAAGCAAATCAAGCAAATTGAGTTGTTCTAATAAAAAGAGTTCTTCCCCTTTGTTCAAATATATCTTCCATAATACTCCGTATTTCTAATTTAGCCTCCTAGTTTCCCAAATTTTCCTTCATTTATTTCCAACAAATATGACGTTTTCTACTCATTGTTATGGCCAAATAGCTAAATTATTAAACATTTTCTAGCAATTCGTCAACTTATTCCACTAGTAAAATCAGTTGACTTAATCCGCTATTGACAACCGCTAACATAATCTGTTACCCGCTCACAACTAAATGCCAAACACACCCTTTGTATTGAAATAAAGGAAATCCTTTATACTTACATCCTCATCAATGCAATTACCTAAGCATAGTCGTTTAACTTGTATCCTTCATTTTAGCGATTGAGGATAGACGTTGTGTAATCTTCCTAGAAGCAATTAAGGATAGCCGTTGTGGAACTCTGCTAGAAACGGGGTGATGATAGTCGTTTTGAAATCCTTTTAATTGTGGCTGATGATAGTCATTCTTAAATCCTCTCAGAAGCGGTCGACGACAGGTGTTCTGAAGTCCTCTTACAAATCATATATAGGTAATGGTTGCTTCCCGAATTGGTGGTAGTGTTTGATCAAATTTTCGATGCGACCAAAGAATTTAATGGATTCCTAAATCACGGGATCCAAGGTTGGGATAGATCGATACAAAGAATTTTTTCAAATAAACTTTTACATATAAATTTATACATTAAAAATACAAAGCATTTTCAAATTTGGGGTAGGTCGGGACCCGGTTAGCCTCCTCTCTACCTCCGCCCCTACAGAGTTGTCGACTTCGAATACTAAAATATATATAAGTTACTACAATCTGGTATAAAATACTACGTAGCAAATAACTACATAGTATATTTCACACCTTTGAAAAGACCACCCGAAACTCTAAGGGAACGTTTGGGAGTTGATTTTGGAGGTGAGGGAAAGATTGATTGAGGTTTATGACTCTCCCTTTCAGAGTTTTATGTTTGGGAGTTTAAAAAATCGAAGGGGTGGTTTTTAGAGGGCTTTTATAACCCTTCAAAAACCTCTAAATGCACAATTTTTAAATTTCCTCAATTTGGAGGGTTTTAAAGGATAATTAACGAAATGATAATGTAAACCCAATTTAAAATGAATATCAGTTCAACTATTTCAATTAACCATATCTCAGAAGTGATTTTAATTATAATTCAATCAAATACTCTTTTTTCTCAAATTTATTGCTCCCAAATACGAACAATGGTTTCCTCACCTTTACGTCTTCTTCCCCTCCAACAACTTATCTACAAAGTCTTCCCCTCCTCCCCCCCCCCCCCCCCCCCCCCAACTCGTAAACATATCTTAGAGTATGTTCGGGAGTTCGATTTTAAAGGTGGAAGGTTGATGGAGATTTATGACCTTTCTTTTCATGTTTGAGAGTTTAAAATGAGGGAATTTGACTTTACACCTCACTTTTGGGTGATATTGGACTTTGCACCCCATTTTGAAAAAACCTTTGATTTTGCGCCCCATCACATAACATTTGTGAAGAAACCTTTCTAAATGGGGTGCAAAGTCAAAGAATTTTTAAGTAGAATGGGGTACAAAATCAAAGTTTTTTTAGAATGGGGTGCAAAGTCCAATATCACCCAAAAAGTGGGGTGTAAAGTCAATTTCTCCCTTTAAAAATTGGAAGAGATGATTTTGGAGGGCTTTTATAAACCTCCAAAACCCTCTAAATGCTACGTTTGCAAGTTCCCTTAATTAGAAGGGTTTTGAATGGTAATTAATAAAATGATAATTTAAGCTAAATTTAAAATGAATATGAGTTCAATTATTTGAATTCAGCATATCTCAATGTGATTTTAATTATAATTCCTTTCAAAGACTCTCATCTTCTAAATGTATTACTTCCAAATACGAATAATTGTTTCTTCACATTTCCCTCCCTTTCTCCTTCAACAACATATCTTCATAGTCTTCTCATCTCCTTCTAGTCAAACTCCCAAACATATCCCTAACAATTATCAAGAAGCAATTTGAATCTTCCGGGCCTTGCAAAAAGATTTGACACTTGGAAGTTGGAAAGAGCTTGAAAGAGCAAGTGGGAACGGTTTAGGTAAATGTGGAGAAAAAAGTGAAGTAAAGAAAGAAAACGACTAAGGGTATGTTTGGGAGTTAGTTTTTGGGAGGGAGGGGAAGACATTTGAGGATTGATGAGTGATGACCCTCCTGTTTGTATTCGGGAATTTAAAAAATGTAGAGGAATGATTTTGTAAGGCTTTTGTTACAATCCAAAACCCCTCAAACGCTCAATTTTAAGTTTCCCCAAAATGAAGGATTTTAAATCATAACTAATTAAATGATAATTTAAGCTGAATTTAAAATGAATATCAGTACAACTATTTGAAATCACAATATCTCATAAGTGTTGAGAGGTGCGATTAGGGCGGTCTTCTCCCTATTAGGTCTAAGGCTAGGTATTTCCGCAGCTTAAGCGTGTGGCCATTATTCAATCTCTCTGTCGCTTCCGATCTTGCTGCTTGGATTTCACTTCTCTTTAAGCAAGGAAGCAATCGTATGGCGTCATCAGTGTTGGCGGGCATGGAGACCGAAGTCGGGGTTGAAAGCAACAAAGTCGTAGCTCTCGAGTACGAGCGAGCCTTCATAACCTATTGTACTTGGGTGGACTGGATTGGGGTCTCCGAGTTCGATCTGGCTTCTGGGTTGTGTTTTCTGCCCTCAATTGTATTGGGATGTGTCCTGCTTGCCAAAGATTCGAAAACTGGAAGAATGAATGCTTCCACAGATGTTGGTCAATCGGTACGGAGAACTACAACTGGGGACTCTTGACGGAGTCATGCAAAAGCACATTGGGATAACTATGGCAGACCAGAGTCTAACCAATGATGGAAAGATCAATCACGGCGGTATTGATGAACCGGCCTCCTCCTGAACCACCGCCATGGGTTAAACAAGGTGTTAGGGTTCGAGAAATCTTTTCTATTGGTAATGGTTCTTTAGATTATTCTGTTTTTATGTGTTGTTTTTATTCCGAACTGAATGTTGCTTTGGTCGTGTTTTTGGTTCCTAGCAAAAAAGCTCTAGAATTTAGATCGGGTGATGAGAAGTCTGGTTTGCCCATCGTTGACTCAAGTAAGCCCATTATAGGATCAATGAATCTATTGCTTCTAAGTAGGGATGGATTCGGTTCGGGCCACCCGGCCCGTGACCCGGCCCGGTACTGTGCGGGCCCGGGACCGGTCCGGTCGGGCGGTCCGGGACCGGGTATGGGCCCGAACCGGTGGGAAGGGGCGGGGCGGGCTCGGTTCAGCATTATTGTGACCCGGCCCGGCCGGGTCGGGCCCGGGTCCGGTTCAATTAAAAAAAAATTGGTTTGGGCTCCTACTAGTCGTTGGGGGTGGGGCTGGGGCTGGGGACAACCCAAACGGCTATATAGCCGTTGGGTGGGGTAAAGGGGGGGTCCGGGGGGGTTTGGTGGTGGGGGGTGGGGGGGGTGGGGGGTAAAAAAACCTATAAATACTCCTAATCTTAAACATTTTTTCATATATCTTCTCTAATTCTTCCTAAATCCTATTCTTAACTCTCTACTCTCTAATTCTCTTATTCTCCAATATATTATATATCTACTCTCTAATTCTCTTCTCCAAGAAGTTAAGATGGAAAATCAAAATGCCATTATACGGTATAATTTTGATAAGCAGAAGGACCCGAAGACCGGGATGTGGTACGCAATTTGCAAATGGTGCGGAAAAAAAATGTATCATGGGGGCTTCAGGCGGATTCGGGATGGCAATCAAGCATATGAAGTCATGTGACAAAGCCAAAGGATCGGGAGGTGCGGGAAGTTCCGATTGATTACAATTTTCAAAATGTTTATCTCTTAAAGTTTGTTTTAATTTTCAAATGTAGTTCCTATTTCATTTCAAATAAATGCAATTGAAGTTTGTTTTTAATACTCGTATAAAACTATAAATTATAAAATATAAATTATAAAAAAAAAATAACCGGCCCGGCCCGAACCGGACCTGACCCGTGACCCGGGCGGGTGGCCCGGCCCGAACCGGACCCGTCCAACCCTCGGGCCGGTCCCGGGCCCACTATTCTAGAACCGGCGGCCCGACCGGGCCCGAATCCATCCCTACTTCTAAGAGTGGTTTCGGGCCGGGCCAACCGGCCCGGAACCGAACTGGCCCGCTACTATGCGGGCCTGGACCGGCCCAGTGAACAGGTTGGTTGACCGGTTCGGGCCACCCGGCCCGGTGGGATGGCGGTTCGAGCTCGGGCCCTTCAAAAGGTGAACCGGGCCGGGCCAATTCATTATTATTTTTTTTAAGTTTTTGGGTTGGGCTGGGTATTTTAGGCCATTTGAGGTGGTTAGGGTTGGTTTGGGGGTGAGGGGGGGGGGGGTGGGGGTTAACTAGGAAAAGCCAAAAAAAAAATGAGGCCCAACCCAGACCCGGGGGTTACCCGAGCCGGTTCCGAGCTTCCCCTTCATGAACAGAGGCCCGACCGGGCCCAGGCTCAAACCGAGCCCGAACCGGTCCACCCCTAATTGCTTCTACGAAGGTGATAGATCCTTTGTCTGGTTCGAGGGCAGACAAGCCAGACAGTAGACATAGGACTTTTTGTAGTTTTGTATCTTGCTTAAGTTCGGTTGATTTAATATAAGCCACCATTTTTCCAAAAAAATAATCTCGAAAATGTTTAATTATAATTCCTTCTAAGACTCTCTTTTCCAAATTCACTACTCCCAAATAAAAAGAAGGCTTTCCTCAACTTCCCCTCCAATTTCCCTCCAACAACTTACCTTCAAAGTCTTTTCCTTCCTTTTTCCCCGAACTTCCCAAACATACCCTAAATGGATCCAAACATAACCTAAATGGAGAGCAGTCATCTCCAGGAAAGACCAAATTAAGTGCACTTTATATAGTTGCTACTACATACGCTGCTGGATCTTTGCAAAATAAACTAGTGTCAAACCAATCCTATTGAACAAACAATCTTACAATGTTGTCAGTTGCCTACTTGCCGTTACAGGTCATTGTGACAAAATATACACAAATTTTGCACAGAACTCCAAAGTGCGACTGTAGCCCATTGACAAGGGGTGCCCACCTAGATTTCACTGCAAATAGAAAAGGAAGGGGTTCAGTGACTTGGTCAGTCATGCTTCAAGAGACATCGATCTGACACTATGAATTGAATTCTCTATAGTATCTTCACCGTGGAATACTGGAATTACAATAAGGAAAGCCACATTGAATTTTGGATTAACTTTTCTCATCTTACATATCAAATTGGACCATCCCTACAGCAACTCTATGGTGGAGTTACTACCAAGGGTCGGTTTCCTGTTATATAATTGCACACCACAAAGGACTCAAAAGTCAAAATATACTTATTCTGAGTCATCTTCATACTCTTCGAACTCCCCAATTTCCTGAAATGGTATTGGAACTTATTATGAGAAGAATTTCTCGAATTAGTGTTTCAGATGTGTGCTTGGTCACCAAAATAAACTTTTAAGGCAGCTATGAACAAGCTTACCTTTCTTTTGCTATAGTCCGCCATAGCTCTATCAAACTCTCTTCGTCTCTCTGTAGCAATATCATAATATTGAACTTTTTCCTGTAGCCAAACATAATGGAAAGTTAGAGAGCCTATATTTCATTGCCTAACCTGCTGACTTTGTTGTTTCCAGAGCAAAATTGCCATGGAAGGTTATAATGTCACATACCATTATGAAGAAAATCATAAAAGTGCATTGGTATAGAAAATCTTATTTGGAAACTGGGTTAGTCATAGCCAGCAAATTCCTTGTTCAAAAATCCCAGTAAATGTATTACTTTCAAATGCCAAAAGTTAAAACTAAATAGTAAAACGAATGAACCAGGATATGGTGAGACACAAGGCGTAAGGATCAATTTCAGCAGGTTATTTTGGTATCAGGGCAATCATCAAATATAGCTCCAGACTAGGATAAAATGGTACAACTAAATAACACTAGTACGCAGTATATTTAAATATTTCATACGAACCCAAGGTCTTTTTCCTATTTTTGTTTGAGCGGGTACCAAGCATGATGCTAGGACCTCCACCATTTTATGATTATATTATTGCTGAAAATACTACTAATAATAAAACAGTTAGAATCCATAATAACTAGCTCCCGCAATAACACATATCACTTGTGAGTTAAAATAATTTTAGCCCGAAGCCTCTAAGCTAATGAGAATTAATTGAACTTCACTTTTTAGAATTTCCTCTGAAATCCAATCTTAACACATAACAGTAAACTTAGAAACGAAAGCAATGTTACACCTAAAGAACCATTAACGATTCTAGCTTTGAGTCTTTTAACTAAGGGTGTAGATACATAATCAGTTGTAAGAAATGTAATCAAATGTAAAGATATATGATAAAATATTAATTTAAGGGTGTCAAGAACTCCATAAGTGTTTCAATGCGGGAAAACTATTCATTGAAATGATGCAAATGTAACGAGACTAAATAGGCACATATTTGTGTGCATAGAAATGAATATAGTAAATGCATACAATTATGCACACAGTATCATTGTGATATCATAGCAACACACTGTCGAATTTTGATAAGTTCTAACCTCATAAGTCATTGTCTTCCACTTCTCTCCACAAGCCTTCCCAACCTAGAGCATGAGCAACAAAATAAATGCCGAGAAATCCAACAAAATTTGGAGTTTCAACAAAAAAAACATATATAGATAAAATGGATATTTGCTTCTTTGGTGCCTCAATTTTTACCAACTATTTAATGCAGTCCCTCCTCATTGTTAATTTGATGGACTCCAGTCCTTTAAAGGTTAAAAAAGTGGTTAATTGAGTCCATCACATCCTCTTGCCAAAATACATCATTGAGAAGTTAAAATAAATGTCAAAAGAATTACAAGGGTGTGAGGAACTTAATTCACTACGTTTACATAACAAAGAGCCTAGAACTCACCAAATTGATAATTGGGACTACATTGCAGAATAATGAACAAATGAAGGCTCAAAACAATGACTTCCCATACTAAAAAATGAAGGAACTTATTACATCGCGCATTGACTTCACATCCGGATTCTTCTGCTGGAATTCCTTACGGAAGTCCTCCCTATATAAAGGAATATTGGGCTGGTCAGCAGTTAATTTCAGAGACGTTAAATGTTAAGATTGGTCAGGAGTTATTTCAGAGACCTTAAAGTTTAAGATTGGTCAGCAGTTATTTCAGACACCTTAAATTTCAGATGTGCTTCAAATCTGAGACACTAATTACATCTCATGGTTCCCAGAAAAGCTAAACATGTTTCAACAATTGCAAATCTTAATTTTTAACTCATGTTGCAGCATGTGATTCTGTATTTACTATTAGAGGTATTTTGGGTTATTTACCACTACCACCTAGCGTCTAGGATCATGACTAAAAAAGAAAATGTAGCCTAAAAATAATCTTATTTGTAATACCAAACAGAGCATATATCTTAATTATATTTTTAAAAGAAACAATAAACTCGGAAATAATCTTTACCAAAAAGGACCTTAGTCCATGTGAAGATAATTTTAATTCATTGGGTCAACTGCCCTTGGAAGCAATAAGGTGAAGCAGCAAATTGGTCATGGACTCTTGACCTTTTGTGTATATAAAGCAACGTTCTACAACAGTTGCCTACTTCTGTACTATGCATAAATAGAAAATTTAGGATCGCCAACAAGAAGATTAACTGATCGTGAAATTGCCAAAAAGCCCGTGCAATACTTCTCAATTAGAGCCAGAAACAAATAACAGCAAACATTAGAAATTCTCAACTTTAAACAAAAAGATGAAACCACATGATGAAACTACTGCAACATATTTAACAAAAAGTAAAAATCAACAAAATTTTCAGATAGAATTGAAAACACGTTCATATAGAGTAGGGAAAATACAAGTCAATGAAAAAGAATCTCACACTAAAAGTGGGAAGCTTTGAAACAAAATATCTTACAAGAAGAAGAAGAAAGCGGTTGGAGGTTTCTTAGGCGTATTGGAGTCTATTTTACAGATTTTCTTCTCCGTCGTTTTACGCTTTCTTGCTGAGGATGTTCTGCTCTGTTCTTCACCGGAGTGCCTCAATTGACGCGGCGGTCTTACTCTCAGCACCATTTTCCTGAACTTAATTAAATATGAACTTTAAATTCTACGAAATATGAGAGATAGAAGTAAAAAAACTAAGCAAACACACGGATAGGCCTCTCATATACCCTTCGGATGAATTTGAAGAACTTTTATCGGTAAACGCTGATGATTCCGGTGGTTGTTCACGGGACTCCGAATCTCTCTTCGCCATTGCTTAGTCGTCCGTCTTAGAAAGCATCTCCCCTGCTGTCCATTTTTTAGGCTAATAAATAAGGGGGGAATTTGAGGGCGAAACTTTAATTGTTTTTTTGAAAAGAAAGAGCTTATATTAGATCCAAATGAAACAATACATCATTCATCTCCCAAAACTTAATAATCTCCCTAAACCAATAATACCAAAAGTCTATGGGTTCTCTCATGTCATGCTCAGACATAGAATAGCTCACCCCGTAAAAAGCGAGACTAATCGCTGAAACGATGAAAGCTAAGATGCTATTAACGGCTAAAACAGCCTGATTGTCTCCCTCACAGTAAACCCCAATTAAAAAACAAACACCCTCCAAACAATGAAACTTTAATTGTTAAAAAAAAATTCTAATTTTTTTTTGTAAAAAAAATGTTTATAATTTAAAAATTCTTTCAATTTTATTGTTTCTTTGTTTTAATACAATTCATATTTTATTCATAATTAAAATATAAAGTAATAAACATAACTTTATTTATTAATAAAAATGAAAAAAAATAAAAAAAAACACGAAACAAAAATTATTTAAAATTATTAAAACTAAAAAATTTAGAAAAATAAAAATTTATAAAAAAAACTTTAAAAAATAGAAAATAAATAATGTAAAAAATATAAAAAAATATGTAGGTCTATGTTGCTGCCTCAGCAAACTCCCGGCACCACCAGCTCCGATCACATGAAAAAATGCTAACATGTGTCAGAAATGTCATCTCGATGGCAGTTTTCGAGAAATATTTTGGCATTTTAAAGTGTAAAAATGACAGTTTTACACAAAATAGCATTTTTTAGCCGATCAGAGATAAAGTTGATGGACAGTGGCCGAGACTGTGGGAAAGGCCTCCATATTTTTTTAATATTTTTTAATGTGTTTTATCTATTTTTTATTTATTTTTTAAGTTTTAAATTTTTTTTAAAAAAAATATTTTAATGATTTTCGTATTTTTAAAAAATATTTTAGAATTTTTAATATCTTTTTACGATTTTTTATAAGTTTAATTATTTTTTATTTTGTGTATTTATTACAAATTAAAATATAATTATCATATTAAGTTGTGATAAGGTATAATAAGAAGATAGAGTATACTTTAGCCTTATTTAAGAAAGATAAATAACATAGTCCTATTTGTACATTTTGATATTAATTTAGTCCTATTTATGGCTATTATCTCTAAATATTGCTACATTCATCCCTTAAAACTATGCCAAGTTTAACAAGATTAATATATATATATATATATATATATATATATATATATATATATACACATATATATATACATATATATATACATATAGATATATATATACATATACATATATATATACATATACATATACATATATATATACATAGACATATACATATATATATATAAACATATACATATATACATATACATATATATATATATATATATACATATACATATATATATACATATATATATATATATATATACATATATACATCTGTATATATATATATATCTATATATATATATATATGTATGTATATATATTTATCAAAATGTGAATGTCCTTTGAAAAATCAGTCGGTAGTTATAAAATGGACCAAACATTATTGTATTCAAGTAAAGTGATCCACAAAACTATACTAGTATTTTGGAAGCTAAGAAATTGATAGTTACAATTTTGGTTAAAAAAACATGTCACCTGTAACAGGTACGTTTCGATTTGTTAGATTCACCTGAGCCACAACAACATCATAGTTACCAAGTTTTCCGTTTCCAAATGAGGATGAGCTTGGGCTAACAGGGCCATCAAGGGTGCATCAACGGTCGACAACTCAATTTCCACCCTGCAGTTACATTAAAAGGCAGACAACAAATGTTTGTACAAGAGAGAGCATACATAGGGCGTATTACATCATCCGCACAGGGGAAAACATCTAAGAACAACTGCATGCTTTATATTATGTGCATCAACCACATTTGGTTGGGGAGATGCAAAAAGAAAACAGTTAGGCATGACACATATTTAATGTTTGAGTAAGGTCACTGTCAGACAGTCACTGCCTGCTAACTATGCACTGCGAGAGTTTTCGCAAAAATATATTGTTGTTGGCAAAAAAAATGGTCATATATACAACACAAGGCAAACAAGTCCAGTACATGACCCTGCAACAGCAAAAAGGTAGATGCTTCAGTGAATGGAGTTAGGTCCTGCATTTCTTGGCGCGCAGCTTAACAATCAGCTCCTCTGCACCATCTTCCTTCTGGGATGGCATCTGAGATGGGGCAGGAGGTTTAGTTGATGGCAGTTCATTCACTGATTTGAAGGTCAGTTTCCTCTTAGGGGGTGATCTCAGTTTCCTCTAAATCCGGTGATGCAGGAGTGTGTGGCGGAGTAGTCTTCGGTGTCCCTTTATCCTTGGAAACACACACAATTATGTAAGGGTTCACACCAGCAACGAGGGTGAGCGTATATAGTTTTTCATCAAGTGCCTCCAGGTCCAGCTCTGTCTCAGGGTCCATACAAGCATACTTAAAGAGTTGCAGGACATCATTTGTGAACAACGTCATAGGTACGGAGGTGGTATTGTCAGAGAGCGTGGCATTGAGAATAAACCTGCATGAATCCCAACAGCTCAGCATTCGGGGAAAAACAACGCAGTTAGATTGTTAGATTATAAGACTCTCACCGCTTAACAGATTTTCCATTCTTCTGACCACAGAATAAGCACTAGAAAGAAACCCCTTATGTGGCATAAACCATTCGGTTGCAATAGTTGCAGCCAATGTAGAACCCCTCTTCAGCAGTATCACCCAATCTGAACTTGCCAGCTGCCCAAACCACAGACACCTGCTTATACAAACAAAGTCAGCTTCACATAGGGGCAAACATTAACAGTGTATATGTGGCGAGACGGACCTGATTCAATTGAGTCTCCAAGACTCCAACAAAGAAAGTTTTATGCGCGGCACATGGTATTAGATTCATTGTTTGAACACTTCTACAGTCAGCCACGTTCATCATCAGCTACAAACTCAAAAACTATTCAGAATATTTGCTACCCGCACTCACACCAGACTAAACACAAACTCCTTATCAAAACAATGTTGAACCTTCCCAAGCAAAAGCTGAATACCATGATACATTGTCTCCACTCACATAACCTCTATAAGCACAAAATCTTATTGCATATGTTGATCCTGATCAACCAATCATAACTCCATTGCCTCTTCCTCATGAGAGAAAATGGACAATAGCTCATCCGTCCGAACTAATCATTGGCGATCATCAAAAGGAGTCAACACCAGAACCGCATCAGCAAATGAATGTTTATTCTCGTGTTTTCTTAGCCAAAAGAACCTATAAAGATGCCAGAAGCACTGGCTGATCCGGACTAGATAATAGCACTGCATGAGGAATTAATTCAATTTGACAGACTGAAAGTTTGGACCCTGATGCCGAGGCCTTACAGAAAAACAATTATAGGCACCAAGTGAGTTTTCAAAAATAAGGATGAAGACGTTGTTATCATCATAAACAAGGCGTGCTTGGGTGCAAAAGGCTACAATCAACAAGAAGGAATTACCTACGATGAAACCTTTGCACCCATGGCAATAATTGAGGCCATTAGACCGTTTCTAGCATATGCAGCACACAAAAGCTTCACCGTCTATCAAATGGATGTGAAGACTGCATTTTTGAATGGAGACCCAGAGGAAGAGGTTTATGTTGCACAACCATATGAGTTTGTCGATCCAGAACGCCCTAATGATGTTTATAAGCTGAAGAAGGCCATGTACAGACCAGATTCTAATTTCTGTAAAAAGATCAGCAATCTGATGTGCACCAAGTTCGACATGAGTATGATGGGAGAGTTGAACTTCTTTCTCGGGCTGTAGATGAGACAAATGTCAGATGGAATCTTCATAAATAAGTCCAAGTACATTCACGAAATGCTCAAAAGATTCAAAGTGAACAACAAGGCAACGATGAAAACCCCCATGTCTCCCTCAAACAAGCTCGACTCAGACCCCTAAGGGAAACCGGTCGATGCAACCAATTATCGGGCAATCATCGGATCCTTGTTGTACCTCACATGAAGCAGACCGGACATTCTGTTTGCAACATGTTTGTGTGCCCGCTTTCAAGCAAATCCAAAGGAATCACATCTGGTTGCTGTAAACAATATTGAGATATCTCAAATGCACAGTAAATCTAGGCCTTTGGTATCCCAAGAATTCAGGGTTTGACATGGTCGGATACTCAGATGGTGATTTCGCAGGCAGCAAAAAGGACATAAAAAGTACGTCCGGAAGTGCTCAACTCTTAGGTGACAAGCTAGTCTGTTGGTCCTCTAAGAAGCAGAATTGTGTGTCAACGGCTACAGCTGAGGCAGAATATGTCGCGACTGTTAGCTGTTGTTCACAAATACTATGGATGAGGACATAACTGAAAGATGGTATTCAGTGATGCTATTTGTTCTAATGTGAACAAAATATGGGTTTTTTGGGACTCATCAATATTAGAAGTTTCTGATATTACATGGCATGCTCAATTTGTTCATTTTAAGATTACAAGTAACAATTATGTGGGTTGGATGACTCGTGTTTATGGCAAGCATAGCTACATTGTTAGAAGAGATCTTTGGGATGCTCTAGCTACTATCTCACTTTCAATGAGGTCATCTTGGATGGTGGGAGGAGATTTCAATGAAATAGCAGCTTACAGTGAGCATCAAGGTACTTCCTTGCCTATTATGAGGGCTATTGATGATTTTCAGAGTGCATAGCTGCATGTAATTTGATAGATCTTCCCTATGATGGTCCTAAATTTTCTTGGTCTGGTATGAGGGCTAATGGTAGAGTATGGAAAAGACTGGATAGAGTCCTATTCAATAACCATATTCTACACAAATTTGATACTATTAAGGTTTCTCTTCTATATAAGACCCCCTCGGATCACAATCCTATTTTGATCCAATGTTCAAATTCAAACTTGACTGGGCCAAAAAGTTTCAAATTTCAGAACATGTGGTTTCAAAATAACAGTTTTATGGAGTTTGTTAAAACTCACTGGGACTCTGTGAAAACTGGTGGTGGTATGCAAGGACTTATA